TTCCAGAAAACAGAATTAATCACTAAGCATAAAATTCACCAATTTCGAAAATAAAAAGAAAGCAGAAAAGAGAAAATTGATACTCTGTCTCTCTTCAAGGGCAAAGCAGCCTTTCCCTTCTTAGGCTTTGAAGGCAGAGGCTGAGGCAAAGTCGCAACACCGCCACCCTCTCCGTCCTCTTCCGACGAGTCAGCAACAACAGCTTCCGCCGCAACAGCCGCAACAACATGAAAATTACCAAATTTGGGTGAATTTTTGTGGGAATTGAAATCAACCCACTTGAGACATCTTCTTTCCCTTTGATTGAGAGAGAAATTGAGAAAAAGGGGTTTAGAGTGGGTCTGAAAAGAGGGGTAAAAGGCGAGGTCTTGCTGGTAATGGCAGGAGGAAGAGGCGTAACAGAGGGTTAGAGATGGTGGTGCAACAGAAGCCATTGTTGCTCGCAGAAAAGAGAGTGATGGAAGTGCAAAGAAAGGAGAGTGAATTGGCTATCCAAATAATAATCAGATAAGAAGAAAGGAAGAGATACTAGAGAGAGAAAATGACAAAGGGTGAGGATGAGAGGAACACACTTGGATTGTAGAGAAAGATTGAGGTGATTATAGCTTTTGGAATGAAAACCTCTTTCTTTTTGGGTATGAGGATTGAGGATACATAAACCCATAAACTAAATATGGGCCAAATGTGCAAAGAGTAGCCACACATTAGGTCGTCTCATAAGTTATAACCAATTAACCATATGTTGTGATTTCGTGACTCTTGACTGCAATTTAATTCTTTTAAACGGTTAATGTAACTTCTAAACGGTCATTGAAATGACTGAACCCATACTTGGAGCTCTCTCAACCTAAGGTTGAAAGCGTGGATTATAGCTTGTAAATCATTATCGGGTTAACTTTGTAGACCTAATGTTCTAAATTAACTATATAACTCTTGGTGACACCACATACATTCACTTTAGATTTGGAAAATTTGCAGCATTAGCTCTGAATGAAGGGTCATAAGCCTTTGATTTTGCACAATTTTTTTACTTTTCGAGCCCATAAATAAATAAGGTTGGGATGTTTCCTAAGGACCCCGCAAGACCATAGGAGCTCATTGAACAGAACTCATTCATGTAAACTTGTAGCATGTAGGTCTATTATTTAGTCTGTTATGGTTCCAAACCAACGTCAACGTTTATGACCAGGGGAAAAGGGGAAACCCCATGCGTTTAGTTCAAGTACAAAAAAGAATTTTGAAATTAGTGTGAAAGCGTGGATTATAGCCTTCAATTTAAGATGATTTTTGACATTTTCTAAACGTGGCAAGGATAGAGGTCGGGGCGTTTCCATGGTTCCTATGAGACCCCAACATACCATTTTGGGTGGCTCGAATCTTATGTTGCAACGTTGGACTATAATTGCAACGGACTTCCAAAATAGCTACAAAAATGAATCGAATCCATTCTCAAAACTCAGTAGACCTACTGATAAGCCTGCTATGGTTAGATTTACTAAAAATAAATTAGTTGACTCCTCAAAATGACCATATTCGGCTTGAACCGGCAGCTCACAGTCGTATTTAGATCGGAAAACCCGAAAGAGGCGTGTGGGAATGTGGGATGGCCTTTACTAAACAACGGCTTGCATTGTTTGGGTGTGGCAATTAGTTGTTATTATGTGCCCCACTTTATAGCTAACATAATGCATAATGGTTGGCCTTTTCACTCTTTTATTTTTTCTGTTACTTCTTCTAAACCACACCTTTCTTTCTTGCTCCAAATCCCCTGTCTTCTCACTCACTCAAACAGTCAAACTCTCTAAAAACATACCATCACTTTGAAGCTCACCCAAATATCTTCAAGAGAGAGATGGCAACCATGGTTGTTCTCTCTCTCCTTCCTTCTCACTCCTCTCCATTATTCCCACATCATAAATTTCAAACTCACCATAATTTTCCATCCATTAAACACCTCTCTATCACCTACACCCCACCAAAATTCTCACTCACCCGCCTCGAAAGACACCGCCTTTCATCAACCCAAATATTTTCTAGTGGTGGTGGTGATGGAGGAATTCACGGAGGAGGTGGTGGTGGAAGTGGTGGTGGTGGTGGTGGAGATGGTGGCGATGGAGATGCAGGGGAGAGAAACAGAGCAGAAGCAATTCTTGCTCTTGCAGAGGTAGGGAGGTCATTGGAAAGCTTGCCTAAAGACTTATCAATGGCGGTTGAAGCCGGTCGGATACCGGGTTCGATTCTTCGTCGTTACTTTGAGCTTGAGAAGTCTCCAATTTTCCGGTGGTTGCTTCAGTTTGGTGGGTTTAAAGAAAGGTTGCTTGCTGATGATCTTTTCTTGACTAAAGTTGGCATTGAATGTGGTATTGGAATGTTTACTAAGGTTGGCATTCTAAATTACATTATTTTCATGTGGATTTATTTCATGTAAATGGGATTTTTTGAAAATTAGAAAGTACATAATATATTTATTTGCATCCATAAATCTTCGTACAAAGTACTAAATGAAGCTAAACATGTTCCTATTTTTGGAGTTTTAAAGTAGTCATGTCATCGTGTGGATGTATTTTTTTGGTCATGGGCACATATATTAACTCGTTAGTTACACTTACACATTAGTATTTTAAATGACTAGGCTTTAAGTGACACATAACATGAAATAACTTATAAGTATTGTTAATTAGTATAATTTCGATATAATGACTGTTATGACTTCAAGTCACTGAAATTATATTGATTTTTTCTGATCTATAGACAGCTGCAGAATTGGAGAAACGTAAGGAAAATTTTAAAAAGGAATTGGACTTTGTTACAGCTGATGTGGTATGGATGCTAAAACTTTCAATTCTGTTTACATTTTTGGGAAACAGCTTAATTGCGTAGTAGATAACACATGAATCAAATTGTGTTTGCTGTTAGATAATGGCTCTGGTTGCAGATTTCCTGCTTGTATGGCTTCCTGCACCCACAGTCTCTTTACGACCTGCACTTGCACGCAGTGTAGGACCTGTGGCGAAGTTTTTCTATGGGTGCCCTGACAACGCATTTCAGGTTAATTTAACATAAGCTATAAAATATATATCCAGGCTAGTAACAATATTTTTGTATCAGTATAAATTGACATTCTGAGTCCTACTGCACACAGGTTGCTGTTGCAGGAACTACATACTCAATTCTACAGAGAATTGGTGCTCTCGCGGTATGTTGGCAGCTCATCATAATCAGTATACTTTGTACATACATGGCCTGATCCGCCTTCTAACTAGCAGATCGAACACATTATGATCTTATAATCAATGATTTTGTTTGTTTTGCAGCGAAATGGAGCAAAACTTTTTGCTGTTGGAGCCACATCGTCTGTGGTTAGTTCAATTCATTAGTTACCAATTATACACCTTCTAGAGTTCTAGACTTCTAGTAACATCATTTTGAAACAAGATCAATAAGATTTCACATAGTTTTCAACTAAATTTAACCAATTGTATATACTTTTTCAGATTGGTACAGGAGTTACAAATCTGCTGTTAAATGCAAGGAAGACTATTGATAAAACCTTTACGACTGATGGAGAAGACATTCCAATGCTGGCAACCAGCATAGCCTACGGTGTATATTTATCAGTATCTGCCAACCTTAGGTAACACAGACAATATCCCGAAATTCATATTGGATCAACACATAGTTGTGTCATACAATATAGTCAATAATCTTGTCTCCTTATCTTTATAGGTACCAAATCATAGCAGGAGTAATCGAACAAAGAATTCTGGAGCCATTCCTACATGATCAAAAGCTTATATTAAGCGCGGTCTGCTTTGCAGTACGGACAGGAAACACATTTTTAGGCTCATTGATGTAAGATCATTAGTACTTAAAACATTTTTTCATAGTATATAGAGTTGATTATATATTCTTTCCTAACTCGATCTCTTTCTCTAATGTATTCCTTGTTATGTCATTGGTGATAGGTGGGTGGATTTTGCTCGATTCATTGGAGTTCAAAGGACACGCGAATAGTTAACATTTGAGCCATGGATCATTTTTTGATCTTGATCCTAGGCTAATTTTTGCTTATTGTTTCGATGGCCTTGATCATCTTTCATTAGCAAATAGTTATTTCTTCCTATTTCTCTTGAATTGTAGGATGCAATAGTTCATTCTAGCATTGTAGATTTGCCCTATTCGATCTTGAACTGGAGATCAGTCAAGCTTTTGATTGTATAGTATTAGTGTATTCAGACTTGTTATACAATCCCCGAGTTCTTTTTATATTCGGGTAGTAATAAGCTTTGTAATGTTTCTTGAATTTTTGTATTGAATTACATGCGAAGTTTTTGGCCCTTCATAATATGATCAACAAGAATTAAGAAGTAACCATACATCTATGATTTAACTCTCAAATATATCTCAAATAATACTCACTTATCTGAACTCCTTTTAGTTTCTTTGATCATGAAATTTGTAATATTATCATATTTATTACGAGACTTAGCTTGGATGTTGTACTAATACGACAATTACAACAAAAGGCTAAGGCTAGAATATTCAATTCGTGTTAAAAATAGTTTAAGGAGGTTCAAAAAAAATATACATTAGCTAAGGTTTCGATGTTTCTATACATAGCTTCATCAATCATTAATGTGCACAAGACAAGTACTACCTCCGTTAACTATTATTTGCAACAAAGGAATATTTGATATCTCACAAATAATACCTCTTTGTTGCAAATAATAGTTAACGGAGGTAAAACTAATTTTTGCTTTAATTCTTTAAGTTAGCATGATCCTAATACCTTAAAGTCTTAAATAAACATTAGGTCACTTATACCTTAAAATGATATCACATTCTTGTAAATCCGTAGAGTTCCTATAGGTCACTTATCTGGTGATAGGGAAATGAAGATGATATATGTGGTTCGCACGTTTTTGTTAATATCATTTTAGAAAGTATAAAATTTGCCATTGTATTATAGGTTGTGAACAATAATCAAATAAGTTTTTTTTAAAAGCAAAGAATTGAAAGATAATTTAATAAAAAAAAATATACTAGTAGTTTACATGTAAACCCTAATTTAGGAATTGATTTTGGTATATATATTGTGAGAGCACAATTCTCTATACGCTCCCAACATAAATGTGTGCTAAAATCAATTCTTTTGCCTCTGTAAATCTGTAATTTAGAATAAATTAAAAGTTAGGTTAAGAAATAAAAAAAGTGAAGAAAAATTGGGAAGAAAAAAACTTGGTAGGAGAGAGAGTGTAGTAGTAATTGTTGCAGAGATGAAAACAAAGGGAAGTTCAAAGCAGAGGATCAACAACTTTGAATTACTCGACCAAGATATTCTCTGTGTTGTCTTCGCTTTCCTCGACCTCTTCGATATCGTTCGCTGCTCTGTCGTCTGCAAATCATGGTTTTTTTTTTTTAATTTCACTTTCATTCTTTTTATACCCAATTTCATCTCTTTTCTGGGGTCCAATTCATTTATATGTTGGTGTTTTTACCTAATTATGTGGGAATTCTTCAGTTTCTGTTGATTTTTATATGAATTTTCGATGAAAGTTTAATTCTTTTGTTTTTTTTTTGTTTTGTTATTTATGATTGAATTTGATTAATTGAAATGAATGAATGGGTATGTTGTTTTGAATCTTGGAGTTGCCTTAAAAGTTTAATTCTTTTGTTTTTTTTTTTTTTTTTTTTTTTTTTTTTTTTTTTTTTTTTTGTGTTTTGTTATTTATGATTGAATTTGATTAATTGAAATGAATGAATGGGTATGTTGTTTTGAATCTTGGAGTTGCCTTAATTATTGGTAGTTTGATTGTTCTTACAAGTATTAATTTTAGCCCAATTTCATCGAAAAATTGATTACTTTGTAATTTTTGTGTAATTAAGTAAAATAAATGATGAAGCAAATGGTTGTTTCTCTTGAGTTTTTTCTTGAACTTTCCTTAGCTGTGAATATGATAGGATAACATATTTTGCAGTACTTTATTTTTTATTGTTAAATGTCGAGGATCATCAATTCATGGATACTGGATATCACAATCCACGTTTAAATAACCCGAATTTTCATCATCTGACTTGTACTGCTCAAGTTAGTATTCAAAGCGTCAAGTTTGTCTAGGTTCACCGCTGTTACGGGTACTGGTTGGAGTGTTGAATTATTATGTTGTATTTGAGTGTCCCAAGGGTCAGACATGGTTATAATGTTGTGGAATGTAGTTTTCAAATAATCGAGGTCAATAAGTCGTATGTGCCCAATGTGGCTAGTTGCTCTTGCTGTCACACTGTTCTTAATGTTGTGGAATAAAAATAGATACTTAGTTTCTTATTGGGTTATGAACACTGAATACATTTCACCACAAGCATGCTTCGCGTAGTAACTTTTGGAATTGTGTGTGTATGTGTGGGTGGGTTTGTATTAGTATATCTTTAACTGATTGATACTGAACTAGCTTTTACTCATTTGCTGAAGGCATCTTATCATAAGCAAATCAAGATTAATGCATTCATTGTACCTTAAGCAATGGAGTAATGAGGCCTCCAGCTCGTCAATTGATGTGGCGAAATCATTGAACATGGTACTTGAGGATCTGGCAACACGGCGTCATAGGTCTGCTCTTGTTGATGGTTCTTTTATTGTTGATCAATGGAAAGGTCATACATCCGGGTAAAGTCATCCATCTCTCCTTATAATTCATTCCTTGTTACTGAATATATATTTCCTGTAAGACCCATCATGAAAATTTGTTGATGATTGAGTTAAAATGCTTCCTTAACCGAAAGGGAATAATAAACTGTCTTGCATCTTCATTGGGTGGTAGATGCTCTATTCATTAATATGATTAGATGCAATGTCTTTGTCTCACACTTTTGGATTTTCTCTACAAAGGACACTAATTTTTATCATTTACGCATTTAGGATTGACAAATGCCGTATGAAGATGGGTTTGATCCTGACTGGTGGAGGTGACAAGGTATTGTTCCCTTAGTCATATTGCACTTTGCTCACATTCTATTATGGTCACAGATGTAATTATGGTGACTATCATCACAATCTAACGATTTTGACTGGAGTGATTAATTCCTTTGTGTAGCTTTTCGCTTAGTATCTTCTTTCCTTGGATGCTTCCTTACTTTTACAGCTTACAGACTACTTACTTTCTTTTCTTTTAACGCCAGTTTATGCGTCTATGGTCATCAGCAAATTACAAATGCTTGGAAGAGTACTCTCTCTCTGATTTGGGTCCGCTAGTTGACTTTGATTTTGATGAAAGCAAGGTAAAGTAGAAGACTAGATGTGCAGTTATGCTTTAACCAGTGGCCAAAGTCAATGTTGTCAAGTAATTCATTAAGAGGCCACTGAACTTAAGTAGTGCTATAATCACGCAGTAGGTTCTCACCTTCTGTTGTTTTCTTTTCCCCTGTTGTAGAATCTAGTTTCTGTCGGTTATACATATATTTGTTGACATATATATCTTTAATTTACAAGTTTGTGACCTCTTCAAATCCTCACCATATTTTTATAGGTTGTTGGTTTGGCTGGGACCCGTATATGTATATGGAGGCGCCATGGAAACCGTAGTATATTTCCTTCACGTGAAGGCACATTCACAAAGGGCTTATGTATGAGGTAGGCTGTGCCCTCTGATTGATAATTTATATTTTTGTTTTTAGTTGGCTAAGGCATGCCCTTTTTAATTTCTATCTGATGATGAAAGAAATCTAAGGTCTTATCATGTATAATTGGAATTGTGTTATTTTCATAATGACCACTGACCAGTTTCTAGAATCCAGGTGCATTTTAAATCTATAATTGTTTGCTTAAAATCTAGTTTTAGGCGATCTCTTGGACTAATTGCTAAATTCTACATTACTACTATTGCACTATTTGGATGACTTTCATGCTGAGAAAACTTGATAATACATATACATACATACATACATACATACATACATACATACATACATACATACATACATTAAAATGAAAAGGATGTGAAGGATTTTATGTGCATAAAATTTTCACTAAATGTGCATATTTTTTGAATAAAATGTGCAAAAAAAATCTGACCGAAATTGAATGTGCATATTTTTTGCGCATAATGTGCATAAGTTCTCGTTTTTCCAGAAATTGCAAAAAAAGTATCAGGTCAAAGATCAAATATGCACATTTTGTAGAAAGTATATGCACATTTAGTTCAAAATAAATGCATATTTCATCCTTCTCATTCTTCTCATTATAAGATCCTTCTTAATGGATCTCAACCCTATATATATATTTTTTGCGCATAAATGCATATTACTATAGCTCTAGTGTTTGAACTCTTTGAAGCATGTTTTGACCATTGCCTCTAGAATTTAGCTTAAATGTCATATACTTGTACATATCAGTGACTGCTAGGAATTTTTCTGTAATCTACTTATGGCTTGAGCCCTGAAAATTGCTTTAATAACTAGGCAACAAGAGATAGGAAATAACCTGTTGCTCATCTATGACTAATATGAGTTTGTTTCTTTTTTAACTGATGAGTCTATGTTTAGTGTCAGTAATGTTAAGAAATCCCATTATTTCATGATTAGTTGTGCATTTCATGCTTGCTGTTAGTTGTAATTGTGTGATGAATCAACGAGGCTGAAATTCTCAAAATATTTTCAGCTATTTTATATATGCAGCTTTGTTGTGCTGTGCAAGCAACTCAGTGCTTGACTGCAAGTGAGGTCCTTTTTTCAAAGGTGTCAATTGTCGCAAATAATGGTGATACAAACTTATGTTGAGTATTCTTAAAATTCTTGTAAATGAAAGGGAATTTTTTTTTTTCTTGTAATGTATATTCTTTTTCCGAAATGTATCCAATACTATTCTTCACACTTTTATAGCTTTTCTTTGTGGTCCTTACGTGTGTTATTATATTGTGTTCATGAAGGTACATGGATCCAGAGGCTATGGTTGGATGCGCGGATGGCACAGTTAGGGTATTTGACATGTATAGTAAAAGTTGTTCTCGAATAATCCGGTAATTTGACCCATGCTCCCTCCAGTATTTTTTAAATTTTCTCATAAGAAGTATACAGTTAGTCTAAGTGACATACATCAATTTTGCCTCCATTCAGTTCTGACCTAAAGTCCTCAACATAGCAAAAGTTTGAACCTTGATGCAGCGTCCTTTTTCAGGAAATCAACCGGACATTTCCAACCAAAATTATAATTTACAGCTGTAATTTTTACTTTTGCAATGTTTTTTATGTCAGATTGTTCTTCTACAGTGTCACTGGCTGTTACTTTGAGATCTTTGGTGTTGTCTTCTATACCCTCCAGGGGGTAGAGAATGTTATATACAATAAACTTCTCATCATTTTTCTTTTGGCTATCACCTTTTCTTGAAATTGAAATTTCTGCAACTAACTTTGTTCTTGATCTGCAGAATGCATGCTTCTCAAGTAAATTGTTTGGCTGTGGGAGAGGACCAGTTGGTTCTGAGCGGCTCATCTAATGGAAACATAACTGCATATGGTCTATTGTCTGATCAGCGAGTTGCTAGTTTACAGCCACCCAATCTTAGAGGAGGTTTGATTTTGTCTTCCTTCTATACTGTGATTAGTGTGATTAATCACGAAATTTGGAAGATTATTAGCATGAAGGAAGGCTTGTTGTTAAAATATTGGTCTTGATGGGAAAAAGATCCTTTAGTGTTGTCATTTTCCTCTACCTTTTTTACAGTAATCGTAAATTTTTGAGATGGTATACTTTCGTCCCTAAATAACAGACCACATCTGCTTTGGAGTCCTGTATTACGGAAAATAGCTGAGGGCGGTTCAAATAAGGCAATGTAAGCTTAATTAATTTAAGTTTAGGGCTACTAAGGGCTACCCAATTGTAAATTCACAACTACTATAAGTTCTTAAGTTAGTGAATTCACAACTACTATAAGTTCTTAAGTTAGATAGTTAATACAGGAAAACTCAGGTGTCTAAAATCCATAATTATCTGTCACAATTTAATTATTTATTTTCCACCTTACCCATGTAATCTTTCTCTGGAATTGTTATGAGGTGCCTAAGGGTAATGAGGGATTGTTGATCTTCCGAACTTTATAATGGCCTATCATTTTGGGATGAAAATAGATGAGAAATGTTGCTTTTTTTTATGGGACAAAGGAGTTTAATATAGCCTCAAAGTACGATTAATTAATGCTATATATTGCTCACCAGGTATACATACCTTGTGCTACAATCCCCCTTCTCATTTGGTTTTTGCTGGATCATCGAATGGTTATGCAGCTTGTTGGGACCTTAGGTATTGCTTTCCTAGCTCTGTCAATTTTCCTAGATTAGCAACTTATTTCAGTTTGATGTAATTATAACCTGCTCACTAAATTGTAGGAAAATGCAATCACTGTGGAATTTACGGGTGAGCCCTAACGCAATCTATTCAATGCAACATCTCCGACATGACAAATTGACACTGGTTGTTGGTGGCGTTGATGGTGTTCTGAGAATTCTGGATCAGAATACCGGTGAGATCCTCACAAAGTGTGTAATGGACCAAAGCAACCCCAAACTGACTTCAACAAGAAGCTTGTACGGTTCAGTTGAAAGAAGGAAGGTGAAGAGATTAACTGAAAATGCTATCATTGGTCTTATTCCTGTCACTGCTCGGCCACCCGTAAAATGCTTAGCCGTGGGAATGGGAAAAGTTGTCACCGTTCATAGTACAGAGTACATCAGAATGTGGAAGTTCAACGTGTAAAGTGGAAATTTATGGTACATATGATTTTTGTTCCCTTTCTTCCTCTTGTGCAGTAGTAGTCTCGGCCTAGGAGATCATGTAATCTTGAATCTTATTCACAATTTTTTGCAAGGATTCGCCTTGAATGGCTGAATCATTAGAAAACAAATTCAGAATGTAGCTGAAAGGCAGAAATGATATCAGATGTTGCCTCTTCATTTTCAGTGCTCATTGCTCAGGTCTAATAATGTTTCCTCTATAGCAAATGAAACCTACCTTGTGTATTTGGGTGTATATATATGTATGATCATCATTTACCAATGTGTAAAACGCCAAAGTTGTGAACAAGACGTACATTACACTTTATTGTGCATGGCGTGCACGCGCTGGCTGTATTGACGAGATCCAATGGTACCCTATGTTCACTGAGGAGTGAGGACATAGGGGTACTCAAACTAGTTCTAGAATCATCTCGAAATCACAAGGTGGAGATCAAATAGAACTCGTTGCATTAATCATTGTACTTTCCATTAAATTTTTTATTCATTTTCTTGTAAATTCTAAACAGTACTCGTCGAGGTTGTTGGTAACTTTTTGTTTTAGAAAATATATTTTTAAACTAAAATAATCTTTTCCAAATCCGTGAATATTGCAAATTGAAAATTTTAACCTATCTAGTTCATATGTCGATTTGATTGCAAAACACGTTACTCCTATTAAATCTGGTTCCTATTCCTATATTGATTTGATTAAATAACACATTTTTATGTCAATTACTTTGGTTAGAATTTTTTACAATATCTAAGATATAAGATCAATTAGACAATTATTCAATTTGGTAATACTTTGTAAAAAATAAAAGATAGAAAATTAAAAATAAAATGGGTAAGAATATATTCTTCAGCCCAAACAAAAAAGCCCAATCTAATCAATATAACGCTCCTACGACACTCTCACTATCTTTAGTTCAAGCTTCTTCCCCAAATTCTTCCCAATTTCACAAACCCTAACCCTAGAACTCCAATTCTCACCCAAATCTCCCAATCAAGAATCCAAAAATGGTGTGCATTAGGAAAGCAACAGTCGACGATCTTCTCCAGATGCAAGCTTGCAATCTCCTTTGTTTACCAGAAAACTACCAGATGAAATACTACCTCTACCACATCCTTTCATGGCCGCAACTTCTGTATGTTGCTGAAGATTACAACGGCAAAATCGTTGGTTATGTGTTAGCGAAAATGGAGGAAGAAAGCTCGGAATGCCATGGACATATCACTTCACTGGCTGTTCTTCGAACTCATCGCAAATTAGGGTTAGCGACGAAGCTAATGTCGGCTGCTCAAGCTGCAATGGAACATGTTTATGGTTCTGAGTATGTTTCTCTTCATGTTAGGAAGAGTAATCGTGCTGCTTTTAGGTTGTATACTGAAACTTTGGGTTACAAGATTCATGATATTGAGGCTAAGTATTATGCTGATGGGGAGGATGCTTATGATATGAGGAAGCAATTGAAGGCGAAATCGGGACACGGGCACGGTCACGGTCATGGGCATGGGCATCATCATCATGGTGGAGAATGCTGCTCTGGTGGTGGTGGTGGTGGTGGACGTAGTATCGAGGCGGGGAAGGCGACCGGTAGCCTTCAGACGGCGGAGTGAGCTTACGAGGTAATAATGGTATTGTTTTTGTTGGTGATCATGTTGAAAAGAGTATTGGTGAATGCCAACATATTTTGGTTGTAATAATACTGTTGAAGGTTTCTTATGATCATGTGATTAATGTTACAATTATTGTGTTATTGTACTTCAAATTGTGGTTTATGAAAGGTTATTGATTGATTTTACATCTATTATGTTGATGATGCTTGTAGAATTATGAAATTTTGGTTGTTGGTTCAATTGGCTATTGATTTGAGTAATTGGTTTTCATATGTTATCTTTAGTAAGGTTCTTTGTGGGGGTATTTGGTTCAAATATTGGAAATGGAACGGTAAGAAAACAAGGGTGCTAATGAATCATTAAACTCTTACCTTTCCAATTGTTTGGTTTAATCGTGGAAATGAATCACTTAAAGTTGTGTGTTTGAGGCGGATAGTGGTAATTGATACCATAGGTTGTAGAGTAGTAACAATTCGGTGGAAACTATTACCTCTAAGTAAGGTACCTCCTAACCAAACACTCAATAACGGTTATAGTTATTGAATCCGTTTCTTGACAAAACAATGCTTTCATTAAACATGCTCTTTGAGTGGTTTGAATTGTGATTAGGAATATATGATGTAGGTTCTTGTGCATTGTGTGGCCATGTAGTTGCTTTTTTTATTTGGTGTAGTAATTGGTATCAAGTATTATTTCTGTTTGAATTTTGTGTTTATATGAGTGTTCAGTGTTTGTTGATTGTTCAATCGTACAAGGTTAACACATACACTGGGTGTACACACTATCACCAGGTTTCAGTAAGGATGATGTTCCCTTTCTAAACACATTTTGTTTTATTGTCATGGTAGTGGATTGCTTCTGCTAATTTTCTGTTGGGGAGAACATCTTCATTCACCTGATTCACGCCATTTTGCTTTTATCGCTCTCAATTTCAGCACTTGGGACAATTTGGGTATCATCATTTTATCGTTTTACACTTTCACCCTTAATTTCATAACCCCTTTCCCCCAACATCATTTTTTCTTTATGTGTACGTTAATGTCAAGAAATCAAAGTCAAAATTCTGAGTGTTTGTAGCTTTGGGATCTTCTTTTTATTAGTGGTGGGATTAGGGTTGATTGAAAAATTTAAAGAGCATTTGATGAAGGTGGCAGTAATGGCTGCGTCGGCTGCGTCATGCAGCTAACGGTGTTGGGTGAAAGTGTGGTGGTTGACAATGGTTGAAATGCCAAAGTGGTTGGCATGATGAGCATTAGTGATTACTGATTAGTGTGACTATATGCATCAAAATGTGATTATATTAGCCTATCGAAGATACTATTATATTAATGACGAGGTTGTGAGTTTGCATTAAGAGTTGAACTGTGAATTTATGTGTACCTGAGTTTTATTAGACTAAAGAGTGACTGCATGATTATAATAATGAGAGTATATGTATTAAAGAGTGACTATATTTTTTTTTATTATGTGTCTAGGCTAAGTCATTATAGTACGGAATAGTGACTATACGATTACAGTGTTTTGAGTGACTATGTCACTACAATCAAATCAGATCAAATCGTGAACATGATAATAAAATGTTGACTATATTACAGTGGGACGGCTACTGGCTACATGGATCAAAGATTGATTATATTTGTATTATATCATTATAATTGTGATTATCTAAATAATTGAAGAAGTAAGTCTTTTGCAATAACATTCATGATAGACTTTGGTTTCATTGTATTTATCCTCTTTGCCTTAATTTCCCTTATTGTATGTCAAAATTAGTCGTCGTTTGAATTATACCTAAACTTGCATTTGAATCGAACATGCCCTTATTCAGTTATTTGAGCACCTATTGTGGATGATGAAAAGAGTTGGTTCTACATTTCTACTCTCTGATTAGTCTCTTTTGAACCCTTGATAATTTTACAAGTGGTGCTCACTGTTCAGAAATTTCAAAGTACTTTTGGCTTCATTTCTGAACGATTCTGTACATTCTACTTGGTTTTATTTACATTAAGTTGCCATTGGTACCAGCATGAAGTAGCTTCATGCTTCACGTTTCAAAACTCCTCAAAGATCCAGGCGTCTAGATTTCTCTCATGAAGTATGTAATCTTGTCAACTCCATTTGACTGTTGCAACTCCTTTCATTATTTTTGAATTATGCATTTTCCTAAGCCTTTTAGCTAATTAAAACTGGTTCGTGATTGGGTAAATTAACACTTGAATTAAGATAATCCGTATATTGTTTGACTTGATGAGTCAAAATAAGTTGAACAAAACACCTCCTAAAGTTTTCTAAATAAAATCTATTAATATAAGTGATCTTATTATCGATCTCAAGTTTCATCCCTCCGGGAGAGACTTGGACAGTTTACATGTTTGGTCTAGAACAGGTTTGGGGGAGAATCATTATCCTAGTGAGGTTTCTTCGTATGTATTGATGGATAATCTAAAAATATAAGGCACCGTTTAACTCTGTCTCAAAAAAAAAAAAAAAAAAAAGTTTCATCCCTCAAGATTCAAGAACAAATAAGGTAGTAACTTGTACAATCATTTAGGTTTTTTTTTTTTTTTTTTTTTTTTTTTTTTTTTTTTTTTTAAACATACGGAGCTATTTTTTGTGGACAAATGTAAGTTCAAAAATCTGAAATACTTATATGTAACAGAATTAACATTTAATTAAACTGACCCTTTGTATGGAGGACCATAAACAAGTCTTAAAACTAATCATAATAACATACGCTATGATCTTTGCAACTTCCCATGCCATCCAAAGCCATGTACCATATAATAAGAATCCAAAAATAGTATAATCCACCAAGTACATTATGGATGTTAATTTAATTTAAGCAAGACAAAGTTACGTTTGTTTTTTAATACAAATTAGTGAGACAAACTTGACCTAACTAGTTAATCAAATTATAAATAGTTAGCTTTATTTTTCAAAAATAAACATTTTTCGATTATATTTTAAACGTAACATTTTATATTTTGCACTATTTGCACACTCCTTTTACTGTCTTTTGTGATTTATATATACTTAAGGTAAAAATATAGTTATATAATGGAGTTTGGTTAGATTCGTCTCAGTTTTTTTAAAAACTTTTTTTTTGAAAGATCGTCTCAATTAAAACTTTTAAAGTAACAACTTTTTATAAATTTACTTATAAAACATAAATTTTTGTTAACAAGCATCAAAACTCCAACATAATTTTACTTATAATTATACCGCGATATTAATGGAATGCATTTCATTAAATATGCCAATAATATTAATGGAGTATCTCTTGGTAAAGGAAAAGAAAAATAAATTATTCACTACAAAGGTACTTTTTTTTTTTTTAGCTTTGTAGCATTGTTAAATGGAATCAAAGTGGGGGACTTTTCTTTGATACATTTGGCATATTTGCCCCAAATTTTCAAAAGAAAAAGAAGTCACTAAATTAAATAAATAAATACTTTGTTCACAAGTCACAATCATCCTACTCAGCCATTTCCCTACCACATTCACTATGATTTGTATGTATGGTAGTTGCTGCACTAGAATTAGCTCAGATTCAATCTATAATCCTTTTGTGATCATTTATGACAAAATATATAGTACTATCCCACCAATTGAATCCACATATTTTACTAGTTTCAAATCTTAGAACTATTATCATCTTGTTACCAAATTTATAGAATCATTATTATCTATTTCGACTCAATTATGTATATGTCAACTAGCTCAAATGATAATTATCAAGAATTAATATTTAATTTTCCGTACTTGGAATTAAGATCAAAGCATCTACTCCGTATTATGTATGTCTTCTCCTATGAAGGAATGTATTGTGCGTTTATTATGTTTTAATAACATTAGAAATGGCTAATAAAGAATTGGTCAACATATTACATACACAAGAAAGAAAAAGGAGGTTTTTTTTTTTCTTTGGAGTTGGAATTGGAATTCTAAAATAATTAATGTCATCAAAATTCAAAGAAGTACAAAGTAAAAAACATTGTTCAACATTAACTCTTAGCAACTATATGATGAAATTTCTTGTCCTTTGTTTATAGGTTATTGATAACATATGACGTACGGAATATAATAAATAACAAAATCAAAATCAATAAATAGTAAGAGCAATTAATCGTAGACAACCATTCCATTCAGAACAAGGTTTGAATATGATTATCAAAAAAAAAAAAAAAAAAAAAAAAAAAGGTTTGAATGTTCAAATACATGTAACCTTATTTAATTACCTTAAAATACTTGTGATTAATACTACAATAATGGTTGTTCCACATGTAACTTTCGCATTAACATTATTGATTAAGACCAAAAAATTCTTATATGTACAAAAAAGAATTCCTAAAAAAAAAATATACAAGGGGAAGAAATAATTAAAATTAGTCAAACTACCTAACTATATTAAATTATCAATTAAACAACCCATTTGCAACAAGCTCCCTTGTTTAATGTTTACTCACATGCTTGATGTTTCACCATCAAATATGAATCTCAAAGATTGACAAAAATATTTAGTGGGAAAAGCTTCCAATAATAAACTTACTTCGTCTCAGAATTGAATATTGCATCATTTGGACTTGTACACTATTCACACGTTAAAAATATGTTCATATCCACCTGTTACGTTGTCTATCATCGTGTTGATCTATTGAAACGATGAGGAACTCTTGGTGTTGGAGCAGCTACATCTCGACCAGATTTGATTAATTCTAATCTTTCAGATATTGTCTTATCAAACAGCCTGTTCTCTGGATTCTCAGCATAGCATACGAAGTAACAGCTCACACAAGCATGAGGCAATGCCATTGCTATCCTTGTCTGAATTAATTAAACAAAAAGGGTTTAATTATTAATTTGGTTCATTATATTTGATCTTTAAAGCAAATAATATAAGTGTCTGTTAGTTGAATTTATTTATTCAACTACAACAAGCATGAATTAAAAAAATTAGGTGAATCGGGGTATAGTTGTTTTTTAATAATGAAGTTTGTTGTTTTCGATTAACTTTTTAATAACTAAATAGAACTAGACTTAACTGTTTGTCGCGGATTGATAATGATCTTCACTCGATACTTACGATTTAAAACTGAATTATACTTCATTTTAAATGTCGTATAAAATCTTATGGTAGGGCCTAACGGTGATATAAAGAAGACTCTTAAAAGTTTATATATTTAATTGGTTAGTTGGCTACCCTAAAAGGTGGCATGAACTTGCAGCATGATTAAAGAATGTAGTACTAGTGAACTTTTGATAGTAAAAGACAATGGTATGCATAAAAAGATTAAAAACATAATACTAAGGTAGGTAAAAGGTATAAAGACTAGTACTAACCATGAGGTAACCAACATAGAAGGCCAAGAGGGAGAGGGTGGCTGTGTAGCCTTGGTGCACTTGATGAGTCCACGCCGCCACCATTATCACGCAGACTGAGCCACTGCATACACCGGAGAGGAAGCAAACCGCGCTTATGATATCCGAATCAACTATTTCTTCCATCCCTTGCCTCTCAAAGGCTGCCCAAGTATCTATTGATGACTTGGTAAAGTTTTTACCATAAGCAGCAATCTACAAGGAAGTTGATAATATAAGTGTTAGTTAAGTGGTTAGATATAATAACATGTAATTGGGGGATTTTCTTTTTTATATAATTGAGTCATTATCAATCCAATAATGTCTAATGTATGTATCATTGAATAAATAAAAAACATATAATGAATAAGTCCAAGTGCCAAATTAGCTTAAGAAAATTTATCATTTTGAGCAACAAACAAGTAGTTGTTGTGTAAGCATAAGATTATGCCATTTACAAGGATAACATAATTATGAGGCGTTACGCTTGTTCTATAGTCACAAGTTAGAAAAGAGGCTTAATCTCATAAATGCATAGAAAATGGCATTGAACAAATGTCCAATATAAGCAAATTGGTGTGATTGTCTTACCAATAAGTTTCAAATTGAACAAGCAAATGCCTAATTAAGTCTCATGAAGTAACAATTAGGTGAGAACTATTTAAGAATAAGGAAATTACCTGAACATAGGCCCAACCATTGCCATATCTAAAGATAGAGTTCATGATGTTCAAGCAACAATGAGCACAAGAGAACATGAATTCATCCTCCCCCTCGACAAGATTCAACCCTCGCGATATGATCCTCAAGGCTTCGATTGTAGGAACGAAGAGTGAACCGAGACAAGCACTCCCAAGATTCCTAGTGAGTGCTCTATGGAAGCAAAAATGAGTGCTAGACTGCATTCCTCTAAGGTAATACAGAGCAATTACTCTGCTTACTGTCAAATTCGCCACATTTCTCATGACCTCAGTAGTCCAAGCTAAGCTCAAAACTAGTCCTATTATAACCAATGGTGTCAAATAAAAATTCAATGATCCAATCACAGCCAGTATCCAAAGAGACATCCACAAGAACCCGGCGACAAGCATATAGTATGTAGGATGATTTAAGTCATGAAATTTCGATACTGGTTCGAGTGATTTTATCAAGACTTTGGTAGCAAAACCTGTTCTTTGAGTAACCCAACAAGAATATAAACCATTCCCAATAGCAAATGCAATAAGGGCAGCTCCACAAGCATCAGTAGTAGGCTTTTGGAAACAAATAAGGAGAATTCCAGCTGAAAATGACATAGCAAAACTACTCCATAATATGAAATGGATCATAAATTGAGGCCAAACCCTAACAGCTTTTTGCCATAAAAATGCCAAAACAATGCTCAAAAAAGATGCAGCTTCAACTTGAGGCAAATAATGCTTCAATATATCTTGCTCTTTTCTTCTAAATGATCCACCTCTAAGAAACCCTTCAATTGCTTTGTATATTAGAAATCCAACCAACCCAATTGCTGCTATTTTGTGAACCACAAATAGAAATAGAGATATTTTGTTGGTGTACCCTCTTGAGTTCAATGAAACTACTGATTGCTGAAATTAATCCCAAAAAAAAAAAAAAAAACCTCATTAAGAAAAAGACAATAACAAGACGTATGTCCATCTAATAATAAAAATTCTTAGTTGTTCTCGTGTACACGTCCCCCTAAGTGTACCTTAGGGGAAACTAGCCCCAAACGACTAAAATAACGATACCTTTGATACACCTAACTCTAGTATGCTCGAAAACATACTAATTTAATTAATCAACATAAAATAAACAAAATGGAAGTTACTACTAGACATTTAAGAAAAGAGAGGAAGATAAATTAATTACTTGAGGAGTTGGGGTGGTGGTAGGAATAAATCGAGGTTGCGACGAAGGAGGAGGAGGAGGAGGATGAACACTAGGAGGAATATGAACATTCGGAGGAGGAGGATGAGGATGATGAAGAGAACGAGGAATTGGTGGTGTTGTTAATGGAGTTCTTAAATTTCCATTAATAACAACTCTTAAAGGATTAGTAGGATTTAATGTTCTTAACATTGAAGCATTAAAATTTGTATTATGTGGGTTATTTGTTTCAAACATTTTTTCTTCATTACCACCTTTCTCAATATTTTTTCCTCCCATTTCCCCTGTTTCCTCCTCTGTTTCTCTCTCCTCCTTTGATTCCTGCCACCAAAACAAACAAACAAAAAAAAAAGTCAGTCTAGTTTAATACTGTAACAATATGATAGGGTCGGCTACATGAACCAACATTTTATCTCGACTAGTCGTCGAGAATAATAAAAAGGAAAGAAATGGTGATTACATGAAAAGCTCCCATGGATGGATGCTTGAATTTTGGAGTGAGAAAGAAGGATGGGATAGGAGAAGGAAGTCGTTATTAGAAACGTTTTTTTTTTTAATTTGTTGTTGTTGTAAGAATATTTGGGTGTTAAATTTTGAAGAGGATAGTATTTTAATTTAATTTGTTGTTAAAGTTTTTTATTTTTATTTTGTGTAACACCATGTAGAAGTGGACAAAACGTAGGACGCCACGTGGTGTTAAGGTGAGTTTTTGCTTTTATTTACCACGCTCTAAGGTGGCGCGTTTAGTCAATTTTGTGCACGGTCAATTTTTTGTAATCAACGCTGTCAATTTTGTTGTGCTACTATATCTAAGCTTCTAGGTTGCTTCTGTTAGATGGTGTGGTTGCTCTATAAACATATGGGAGGAGCTCATGAGCATATTTCGAAAGGGTGAAATTTTCACTAAGGGCGTGTACTAATGGACTGAAATCAACTGAACTGAATTGAATTAAACTACTAAGCTAAATTGAACTGAATATTTTATAAGAGAAGCATATTAGGAGCTGAACTGAACTAAATTGAAAATAAACGCATGAGAACAGGCCCTAAAACGTTTGGTTAGACCGTTGAAGAATAGGATTTAAATATCGATTTCATTAATTGTATACTTTTTACATTATTATGGTTGTACGGTCGTAATTAATTTTTTTTTTTTTGAAAGAAAGAAGGTCGTAATTAATATTGAGAGACCTATATAAATTGAAAAAAAATGAAGAAATTCTAATTATTAAGCATAAGATTGGATCGAACTATCAAAGGTGACCTCTTAAGAAATACGGAGTATTTTAAATGAATAACAATGTTTTTAACCGTATGAAATTCAACATGTGGAATAAATTTATGTAAAGGTTATTATATTGTGCTCAAACTTTTTAATTTTTTTGTTATGCTTCAACTTAAGGTTATTACTTATTCCTTATCACTTTACGCATTATAGGTTATAGGTCCACATAAGCAAAATTCAACTTTACCTTGAAAAAAGAGTAGAAACAAAAATTAAAAAGGGAAAGGAAAAAAAAACAAAAACAAAACAAAAAGAGGTGGGATTATGGGAAGAAAGAGAGAGAAAGTGGAAAGAAGTTGGAAACATAATATGCTTGTAGTGCGCGTGGCATCATGCGAATACGGAATACCCTCACTTAGAGAAGATACGGTACAGGCGCGTGCAGCATTTATATGGTGCACTCCATATGATTGATGATTAATCAGATGGCTGAGATTCAATCATAGGCTAAACAAAGCCACGCATACAATAATTACGTAAAGCACAAAAGGTCAAAAGTTGGCAGTGGACCCCACATCAGCAAAAAGTCTAAATCAATTAACAGTTTGGATATGCTCTTACATAAGCTCAAATTTAGATAAAATAAAAATGATGAGCTACATTTATTTATTTATTTAAACCATGTGACTTTGCTATTAACTTTATTATTGGGCCCAAACTGTCTAACTGACATAGGCCCACGGCCCAAAAACTGATGACTGAACAGAGTAGAGGGAATAAAACATTGTTAATGGCCTAATGGGATGTGCAGGTGTTGGAAAACGTGCTGATGCTACAACGGTCACCTGCATAATGTAGGATAATCCAAGTAATCTGGCCATATTGAGTGCTTAAATAGGTTAATTATGCTAAAACTTGAAGGAATTGTATAAATTATGATTAGAAAATAAAGGTACATTACATCAAAAACAAACGACAAAATTTGGACTCAATAAAAAAAAAAAATTTAAAAAAAAGGCAAAAATCACTTCTTTTAACCACCAGATTAAACTCTGAAGGCAGTGAGAGTTGGAGAAAGTAGCAGGCGAGTTGAATCGAGAAGGAAATGATAACACACGCTATTTTTCCGAGTTGTATGATGATATAACCCAGCTCCAAAAACTTCATTTACATGTTATATGATGACTATGATCTTCAATCCTTGACAAGTTGTTTCATAAATCATCGCCAAAGCTAGCTCGCCTATTCCTTCTTACTGCCTGATTGTTCTAGTGATGTTTTAACAATGCTAAGGTGTCCACCATCCTTGCAAGCCACTGTGGCTGCTTTTACTTCGTTGCAGTAATTAATGAATTTGCTTACATCCTGGTTGAGCACAAGAGACAAGGTATGCGAGTTGAGTGACAGTAATTAGAAAATACAATTTTATAAGATTTTGAGGGTCATTTCATTGAGCATGGCCACATAGAAAATATTTCACACGAGACTATGAGAGCATTTATTCCCTTGTAGTTACAAATCTTACAATCCTACAAGTGCGACAAATATTGTTTAATAGGTAATGGAAATATATCTTCAACTATAGTGTGGGAAGTAATACTTCCTAAAAAGTACAAATCTCTATGTTCTAGCCAACCATAACTCCGCATTCATCCATTTTCTAGAAATTTAACTTTCCATTTTTTTGTCAACCAAACACACACTTGAACAAACATCTAAAGCATTCTAAATGTTTCAATGGTGTTTCAAAAACAACTTTTTTTTTAAAATGAAAAGGGAAAATGGAAGACAATCCAAATATGAAAGTGATAAGACTTGCCTATAAATGATTCTGCAATATACAAATGCAAGAAAGTAAATTCTTAACAGTAAAGCTCTGAAAACTGTATAGGATAATTGGCTTGCAACTCTTTACTTGAACACTGATTATGCAGCAAAAGTGTTGTACTAAAGAAAAAAGAGAGAAGCGACTCTACATATTAATCAAAATTATCCATGATGCTTGCCTCTTTTCCATCAACATATCAGATAAAGTTATGGTACCAATTAATGAATAACCAAGCAAAAGCATGATTAGCTTCATAGTGAAGATAGAAAGGCAATACATCTAACAGGAGGAAGCAATACTTCCAAGGAATCCCTATTTTGTCAAGCAGTTCTTCCTAGGAGCCTGGCATCTAAAAGGAATAGCCGAAAGTAGTGTAAATCCCTATAGATACCCTCAAAAGTGATTATCACGGTCTACTGGAAGTGAAAAACATTTCAGGGCTAATAGGCATAGCCTAATAGAGTAAAATAAATTAGCACGCCACTCTACAGATCCAATAATCCCTCTGTTGTAACATTTACCAATCAACACAAGCAAAACTCAGCTTCCTAATTAAGTATCATCAATCTTAGGACCTTGCGAAATATTAAAGCCTTAAAAAAAAAACATCTACTACTTGAATGTCCACCGGAGTTGAAAACTGTGGTGGGTTTCTTCAAAAATTTTAATTACAGGACAGACAAGTCACAATCATGAAAGACAAAAGCAGATGTAGCGAAAACATATGACCTAGTTGGTGCACGTTCGATTGTACCAAATACTAAAAGATGAGCCCTCTGCCATCAAACAAAATAGGTGAGCAAACTTGTACAATTACACCATTGAACACCCCATGTGATTATTTTTATCATTAATAACTACTAACAATGTCGATTTATAGCTAATAGTGTAACTACTACACTACAGCTCAAGCAAGCACCTTTCCCTGAGCTCAATTTCATCACAATTTTCACAAAAATTATGAGAAAGGTACACCCTTTGTCCCACAATGTTCACCGAACCACGCAAGATTACGAATCGAGCAAACATTGTGCAAGTGACAGGATGATTAGTATCTTTGTTTTGGAAATCTTATCATATAACACCAAGTCGCCAATTGCTAAACATATAAATTGAATATGATATGTTATCATAGAATAAGAATATAATAAACAATGAGATTCAATCAATCAAACAACCCAGCAACACCCCACAAGAAAATTTTGCACAATCAATCATAAACCCTAAAAAAATTGCCCATTCAAAACAAAATTAAGTAATCAATTAAACAATAGCAAGGGTAAAATTACAATACCCGACTATCATCCATTTCCTTGGTGAGCTTCGACGGCTTAATTGCTCTCTTCCCTGAAATTCAACCACGGAAATTAGGGTTTAAGAAAGCAGGTTTAATGGCGTTTGAAGAGAGAGAAAATGGGGTTTAATTGAATTACCTTTGCGAATGTGAGAAGCTTTGCCATGTCGACTAGGAGGAGCAGCCTTCTTCTTCGATTGACCTTTGAACATGTTCGCCTTTTGCGTCATCTTCTACTGCTTGATTTCTGCAACTCTAGCCCTAATTTCACAATCTCAAGAGTCAAAATTCTTAATTAGGGTTTTTCTGCAAAATCGTTGTTTTGGTTTGTGAGTCTACAATCTCGAGTTTTGTTTCATTGGGTTGGGAAAGGTTAGGTTAGCCCTGAGCCCTGGCTGGGACACAAACCCACAATCCACCAAAATAGAGTTTTCAACTACCGTTATTAACCTTTTTTTTTTTTTTTTTTGAAATAATCCGTTGTTAACCCATTAACGTTATTAGTTTTGGTACTATGCAATACACGAATTTATATGTCTATTATTTAAATTTTTTAATAGAATTTTTAAAAAATAATTAGAGCATTCTGGAAAGAATTTTTTTCACAAAATCATGCAAGTGTCCCCTTCGGACTTTGGTGATTACTTTAATATATATTATACTACGTAGATATATGTTATACCAATTGGTTGTTGGTGTAGTGGTGATTGGGACTACACTTGGTAGGGGGGACTCGTGTTCGATCCCTCGCAACAACAATCGGGAGTGAACTGGAACCTAACCACCCAGAAAATTGATCCCCGACCAGAAAGATAGTGGGGTTAATAGTTTATTAAAAAATAATGAATGTGAGAGGAGAGATATAAAATAAAAAGTAGGGGTTTGGGTGAGGACCGTGAGAGGAGAGAGATATAATATTTTAATGTAACTTTTTGCAAAAAAAAAAATAAAATAAAATTGTAACACTTATTAAAACACGGCCGGATTTGATAAGTATAACACTTAAAAAAATACGGAGAGAGTATTCAATATGGGTAGATCTTCTTGAAGTACCTAAAATAGTTTTTATTATTATTATTATTATTATTATTATTATTAGGATACCTAAAATAGTATATGGGTACTAATATGAACTCATCCTCCAAATTTGAGTGAACTTTGTTCATAATTGGTCTCTCTCTTATAAGGGGGTGTTTGATTTATGAGTTGGTATGAGTTTGGATTTAAAAATGAGTTTATGTTGAAATTGATTTGGAACTAAATAGTTACCACATATTGCGTACTTAATAAATATTTTTAAATCCCATAATTTGAGATTTGAGGTATGAGTTTTACATTTAAAAGTCTTATAATTTGTTATGTACACCGAGGTGTACAATATACCCAGGGTCATTTGCTCATTAAATCAGCAAATGAGCTAATAATATTTCTACTCATTTGTTGGTTGAATGAGCCAATGACCCGAGTGTATGGTACACCCGGTTGTACATAATAGACTCTTTCAAACAAACACGAGATATGAATTTAAGTTTCTATAAACTTATACCTTAACCAAAATTTCATTAACCAAACACCCCCCATTAGAATACATATATTTTATTAATGTTGAATGTTTTTGGCAATTCTAAATTGACTAGGGATTCTTACGCGCTCGATGCGCACAAATAGCAAGTCCTTTAAGGAAAATTATTATCGGTAGTCTTTATGCCTTATGCATATTTGCATGGTATTTTATTATATCTATTTGCATAGTAATCTTTAAGTACTTATTGATGAGACGAATTGAATAAATGAAACAAGTCATCATATAATTAAATACTTTGTAGAAAATTATTGAGGATATATTTTAGGAAGATATATTTGTTTCTATCTTTTATATTGTTTCCTTATTTCTAGTAACCTAATTAAGGTAACACTAGGAATAAGAGTTGTATATATACGTTTTACCCCGATTAATGAAGGTTAAGCCGTGTGTTTCCGTAATTCTACATGGTATCGGAGCAAGGTTAATTTTTTTCTCTGTTTTTCCTCTGTGTGTTCGACAATGTCTGGGGAGCCTCCATTGCCTCCTACCAAAATTGAATCTAATTCCCCGTTTTACCTTGGACCGCAAGATCGGCCCGGGAATTAAATTACATCACAACGACTCAAGCTTGATAATTTTCATGAGTGGGCACATGCTGTACGAATTTCTCTGTCTTCCCGGAGGAAATTCGGCTTTCTTGATGGAAGCATCACCTCCTTCTCACCGCCGTGTACGAAGGACAATTGGGTTACAATTCACTGTATGCTTGTTTCTTGGCTTATGAACACCATTGATCCCGAGGTAAAATCCATGCTTTCTCAATATGATAATGCCAAGAAATTGTGGGATGATTTACATGAGCGATTTTGTTTAGTTAATGGTCCGAGAATACAGCAAATTAAATCGGATATTAATCGCTGTGAACAATTAAGAAATATGTCAGTGGCCGTGTATTATAGCAAATTGGCAGTGTTGTGGGATGAACTTGATAAATTAGAACCTTTAATTGCTTGCAATTGTGGAAAGTGCACATGTAATGTAGGTCGTCAACATGCTGATCGGCGTGATGGAGATCGCCTCCAGCAGTTCCTGCTCGGTTTATATTCCGAGTACTATGCGTCTGTTAGGTCCAATTTGCTAGCTCAGGACCCCCTGCCCTCCTTGCTTAGGGCGTTTCAACAGGTGGCTCAAGAAGAGAAGGTGCGGGGTATCTCTCGCCAGAAGGAGGAGGCCCCTGCTCTCGGGTTTGCTGTTCGTACGAGTGCTGGAAGAGGCCGTGGTGGAGTTTCTGACCGCCAGTTGCCTGTGTGTGAAAAGTGTAAAAAGGTGGGACATGAAACCTCGAAGTGTTGGTCCTATAAAAATTGCAATTTCTGTAAAAAGCGTGGGCATGAGGAAACTCGATGCTATGACAAGTATGGGTGGCCGAAAGGTGCTGCTAGCAGCCAGGGGGGGCAGCCACCTGCTGGTCGTGGTCGCGGGGGTCCGGTGAAGGCCAACGCGGTTGTTGGTGGTAGTTCAAGCTCGGTTGATTCGGGTACTTTTGCCTCGGGTCGTTTATTCTCAAGTGAACAGTGGAAAGCGATTACGGGATTGATGGGTAACGCAACAATTTCCGATAATCGGTTGAGTGGTAAGATTGATGAAACCTCTTGGATTATTGACACTGGGGCTACTCATCACGTGACCGGAGAAAAACATTGGCTTTTTGATACAAAAAGCTTTGAATGTCCGGTTGGTTTGCCTAATGGGGACACGGTGTTGGCATCTCTTATTGGCTCTGTGTGTATATCGGACAAGATTACTCTCACCGGAGTACTCTATATTCCTAATTTGAGTTGTAACTTAGTTTCTGTTTCGCAACTCAATGATGATCTTAATTGTACAGTCCAATTTAACTCTTATATTTGTGCTATAAAGGACCAAACGAAGGAGCTGATTGGAACGGGAACTAGGAGGGACGGATTGTATTACTTTAGCAAAACGGATTTGGTGCATCATGTGAGCGTTGCAAATTCAGAGTTGGAGTTGTGGCATCGTCGTATGGGTCATCCTTCCGAGAAAGTAGTTAAGTTGTTTCCCACAGTTAGTAATAAAGCTTGTTTAGATAAAGGATGTGAAGTATGTATGCGTGCTAAGCATCCTAGAAATAGTTTTCCTCTGAGTGATAATAAAGCATCTAGAATTTTTGAGAAAATTCATTGTGATTTGTGGGGCCCGTATAGACATGTTTCCTCATGCGGAGCTTGTTATTTTTTGACAATAGTTGACGATTATTCTAGAGCTGTATGGATTTATTTATTGAATGATAAAACAGAGGTTTTTCGTATGATTTTGATGTTTGTTGCTATGGTAGATAGACAGTTCTCTCAAACCATAAAAATTGTGCAAAGTGATAATGGTACAGAGTTTAATTGTTTGCGTGATTTCTTTGATACTACGGGTATTATTTTTCAAACTTCTTGTGTGGGAACTTCGCAACAAAACGGGAGGGTTGAGAGAAAACATAAACATATTTTGTCTGTTGGGAGAGCTTTGAGATTTCAAGCCAAATTACCCATTTATTTTTGGGGTGAGTGCGTTCTTGCTGCAGCTCACCTTATTAACCGCACTCCCACTCCGTTGCTACAAAATAAAACTCCATTCAAAATTTTATATGATAAACCCCCTATGTTTGATGCCATTTGTATTTTTGGGTGTTTATGCTTTGCACATAATCAGAAAACTAATGGAGATAAGTTTGCTAGTAGAAGTCGAAAGTATGTTTTTGTGGGTTATCCTTTTGGGAAGAAAGGGTGGCGTTTGTATGACCTTGAATCTAAGGTATTTTTTGTGTCTCGGGATGTTAAGTTTGTTGAAAATGTGTTCCCATTTGCTACTCCCGAGGATGTAAATATTGAGCCCCATATGTTTGATTCGGGTCACGAAGTTCATGATGATTTTGTTGAATTTGAGGATTCTCAAATTGATGAGGGGATTCGTGGCAAAGTATGTGATAATGTGGGTGGCTCGGGGTTAGACCCGCAGGTGAATCCCGCGGGCGCGGGTTCGGCAGCCACTCCTACTGCCAGCCCGCAGGTCCAGCCCGCGGGCGCGGGGTCTTCATTTGTCCAGCAGCACGACGCTGCTGCCACTCCACAGCACGTGGAGCAGCCCGTGTTGCTGGACGATGTTGCTGCCACTCCACAGCCCGTGGAGCAGCCTCGTGATGACAGCAGTAGCGCAGGGGCAGCTGCTCCCTTGGGGCGCGGGTTCCGAGAAAAGTTTTTGAATGTTCGACATCGAGATTTTGTGACTCACTCCGTTTTTGCTAACAATCCGGCTCTCTCTACTCCGTCTTCCAACACTCCTTCAGGTACTCCGTATCCTTTAGCACATTATATAAATTGTGACAAGTTTTCCGTGAATTATTGTAAGTTTTTAGCAGCTATTGTTGGTGGTCATGATCCGAAATCTTTTAAAGAGGCCATGAAACATGAAGGTTGGAGGAAATATATGCAAGAGGAGATAAGAGCTTTGGAAGATAATGGTACATGGACCTTAGTGCATCTTCCCCCCGGTAAACGTGCACTAGGGAGTCAATGGGTGTTTAAGACAAAATATTTGTCTAATGGTGATATTGAGCGTTTCAAATCTCGGCTAGTTGTTTTTGGCAATCATGAGCAGGAAGGCATAGATTATGGTGAAACATTTGCTCCAGTTGCAAAGATGACTACGGTTCGAGCTTTTCTTGCAATTGCAGCATCCAAGAATTGGGAACTTCATCAAATGGATGTGCATAATGCTTTCTTGCATGGTGATCTAAATGAAGAGGTATACATGAAATTACCTCCCGGGTTTGAAAGTGAGGATCCTACTTTAGTGTGTCGCCTGGATAAGTCCTTGTATGGGTTGA